GTCAGCTGAATCTCGTTTCAACTTCTTTATTACAATATCTTCATGGTTCTTTTAGATACCGCCTTCCTTCACTTAACCATACACCCAGATATTTCTACCTTTCTACATGCTCTATCAATGTGTCCTGTATCTCCGGGGGTTCCTCCTTCTCTTCTTTGAAAACTATTATACCAGACTTGTCCCTACTAAATTTTAGTCCGAAACTGTCCCCTTCACTGCTGCAAATCCTGATCAGTTCCTGTATTGTCTCACGATTTTCTGATACGAGTACAATGTCATCTGCATACATTAACCCTGGCAATACTTGATTTACTTTATGTCCTTCTCAATGTAAGTCAGGTCAAAACCTAGGTTGCACTGCTCTAATCTTTCTTCCATCTCACTGAGGTATATTATAAAGAGCAGGGGAGACAATGGGCAACCTCGTCTAAGTGGCTATGTTAGTTCGTATTTGTGCCGATTAAAAACGGTTTATTTGTTAAAGAAACCTGTATAACGTTTTCGTGAGTGATCTCTGCAATGAATAACACCGCATCTAAATTTCTTTTCATATTAAAAAACAAAAAGAACTTTCAAATGTTCAAAAACAAGTTTTGAACTTCACATTACAGCTTGCATGGCGTGCATCAGGCCTATTAAAAGCCTCCCTATTTTTTATGTTTTTAATCTCTAGAGGTTGTAGAAAAAACTTTTGCATTCACCAGAGTAAATGACGTAATGTCTTTTTAGTTGTGCACGTGCGCGCAGTTTGTTACAAAGCGCCGCACACCTGTTTAATACCCCATTCACACGGTCAACATAAAGGTACCTTTAACATAGGTCCCTTTGCTATCGACGAATCAGCCCGTGCTCTTGGGTTGCAAGCACACGCCACACGCGGAAGATCGTGAATTGATTGGCCGCAGAGAATAAAGGTCCCTTAGCTAAACGGTCGTGTAAATGGGGTATTAGATACATTGAGTCGTAACCTCCTCTGTACTGACAAAGCCTGGCAGATCGCCACGAGACGCGGTCGCCGAAAGTGGAAAGGTTACAGAGCGTCAGACAAGATTCATGTAACGGGCGCCCCGCTGCGGCGAGACACCGAAACACACTCATCCCGAGCGATGGAATGTCCACTCGTGCTTCTCGCGTTCCTCGGGCTACCGCTTCTTTTCTCGTCGGGTTTGAAAACCGTGTTTCGGGTCCTCGCCGTGGCAAAAGCTGTGCGCTGACTACAGGCTCCCCGAGAAATGCTCTGTGCTACCAGATCCTCGCGCTCCAAATCTGCGACCGGGCGCTATTAGCGGCGAGATGTTTCGGTGGCGCCCTCGTTCGGTTACCTTTCGTGACGTCATTACCTTGTGAACAACAACTTCGATGGTGTTTGTGAAAGGCATGGTGGAAGCCTGAAATCATAGCGCTCTCAAAGCAACACTGCCAACACCGTCAAAATTGAAGTTCTTGCATTCCTCTTATTTCCGTCGATGAGACATCCTTTGCTGACGTCATAGTTTGCATTCGGCCAATTGTGATAGGCCGACCACAGCGACGCTTTCGATCGTTCACGTCGCCAATATGGCTCCGTCATCGAACTGCCAGGCTTTGTGAGTACAGAGGTAGCCATGCAATGAGCTTGCCGGTACCGACGCTTTGATCCAGGTGTGACCCGACAAATGCTCGACAGCAACTGACGCTTAACTACTCCCGAATAATATACGTGGCAAAGAAGTTTTTCGCACGGCGACTTGTGCTCGAAAAACAAACACTAATGTTCATAAATTCATAAAATGTCGGCTATGTCCCGGCAAATTAAGGCGATTGATTCATGTTATGATTGTAATGAAATTAATGAAGAGGGTCCCTGGTTCGATACCAGGACCAGGCGGATTTTTTCGGTCGCGCACCAGTCCCCTAGTTGCGTTTGGAGATTTGTGTTTGTTCTTCATCCCCCTGTTCTCCTTCTCCAGGGATTATTATGGTGATTAATTTATTCTATCCTATTTTTACTAAGAAATGTTTACAAATTTAAAATTGTTCGCTGAGAAGCACATCACGCATTATGCGCATTTGGGTCCGCCAAAGATTCAACATACAAACGGTAGTAATTCGTAGCAGGTGTATTCCTAATGTAGCTTGGATGCTAAACTGTCACCGACTTCCTATCCTCGGTTTTCTGCAGGGAAGAAAATTCTCTTAGCGCATTCACTTCTCTAAGCTACGAGGGTAGCCAAGTTGGGTCAAGGTAAAAAGTGGAGAAGATATAGGAAAGGAGGAGGCGGGCAAGAGTGGAAAGCGCCAAGTGTACGTCGGCCTTTTTAAGACTTCGATCGCGAGGAGTTGTCTAACGTTTCACGTCGACCGAGTGAATAAGCAGGGATTTGGTTGAAACGACTCCGGAAGGAAGCCACCCTTCTTTGTGCCATTTATAGTGAGGAAATGTTCGTTCACTAGTTTACTAAATTCTAAAAAGAATCAACTCGGAACTAATAAGAGAGCAGCACTCACAGAACTTGTTGGAACCAACAGGATACACGGAGTCGCTTTCACTGAAGTGTTTACCACACACGAGAGAGATTCTCGAATTTCGCTTTCCTATCTTTAATTTGGTAAAGGGATCCCGTGAAATTAATTACGGGGAAGAGGGGGATAAGTGATTTTAGAACGGTATTTTACTGATCACATATATCGTTTTTTTAGTGGGCCAAAAAAAGAAAAACACTAGTCACAATAGTCGAGGGACGGTACAAGTTGCCTCTCGCCGTTTCATAAAATTTACTGAAGGCGCACGGTCTTTTTATTCTTGTATTTATTTTGGCCGGTCTTATCTTTTCGTTTTCCTCAAGTTAACTTCGGAAAACCTACTGCTCGCCCATGCATATGCATTATTCTTGGGTCTATTTTGGCGTGCCCTAACTGAGTAGTCGGGGGTACCTCTCATACGTACCTTAAATTGATAACTTTTTGTTCTTTTTTGTGAATCGACGTGGCTATATCACAGGAGACGTGGCTATATCACAGGAGGTTTTGTGGCCGGTGGCCAAAGAGTGGCCCTTCATTGGCCAATGCTTGGCCGATGGCTGATGGCCAGTGGCCACTGGCCAATGGCCAGAGAAAAGCCAGTCATCGGCTAATCTCTGGCCACTGTCTGGCCACTGGCCAAAAGGCCATTGTCAGCCATTGGCCAATGCTTGGCCAACTCTGTGCTGCTCGGGTGGTGCCAAAGGTGGCATTCACTGGCGGCCATAGTTTAGTCCGTTCCTGCTCAGCGCGAGTTTACAATTAACCTCCACAACGTGCATTGCATTCCACCAATATTGTAGTTCTTCACAGAAGATGAGAGGGTGCTCGTCATGGGGCCTGCGTTTGTTGGGGCGAACTCGCTTTTGGTCCGGCAACAAATTATTGAATGTGTACAAATATTTGCTACAGATGTTTGATATCTGCAAAGCAAAGCAGTAAAATAGCCGTAGCATTTTAGCTGACCGATCGGAACTGCTCTTGTGACTTAGCCAGTCATATGTTTTGCGTCGCCGCAATACGAACTTTGCGTCACACGACGGCTATGAAGTTGATCATAGGGGTTGCCACCATGCTCGAGCCGGTAGTTTCAGTTTCGCCGTAGTCCCCGAAAAGAAATTTTGAGATATGATGTCCACTAGACTCCACAAGGCATCGAAAACAACAAAAAAACTGGCACCTTGTAATTCAGGAACACTTCCTTCACTAAAAGTCGTCGTAGCCCTAAAATCGAGAACATGAATCGGAGTTACCCTTTAAAGGTTATGATGTCCTCTGGTGCAAACAAATGTGACTGTCTTACGGGGCTGCTGGGTTTTATGGGGAAGGCGGCACATACACTGTCGACAGTTGCGTCACGCTCTTCTGTAACGCTCGCCCGATACACAAGTCAAGGTCATATAAACAGTCTGATAGTGACGTCAAGGTGCGACGCTACGTGAGGTCAGTATAACACGTGACACGTGACGCCACCTTACGTTAAGGGACCACGTGAGTGTGAAGTCCCGTGACACCGTGACGTGACGTCACACTCGGGGTTCGTGCGTTTATCATACTTCGCTTGCCACGACAATGTGACACCGAGTTTATGGGATATGATCAAGGCATGTTTTGTTTTTTTTAATATTTAATGCGTTTTGTATTTGTTTTCAGTATAGGTTTCGGCCTTGGCGGAGGATTGGGTCGTATCATGGTAGCCAAGCAACTTGAAAGGTTGGTAAAATGTCTGGCCTCAACAAATCAAGGTTTGTTTTTGATTGAATTCAGACAAGAACCAGTTTCACTTGCAGCAAAAAGGTTACTTGAATCATTTGGTTCAGTTTCAAGTTTGAAAAACGCCTCAAGTTAACACCACAGAGTGCAATACCGTTTTGTCTCGATTTCTACCATTTTCGGCGCTTTTCAAACTTTCAGTGTCACTTGTAAAAGTAAAATAGTACGATGATCAAAATCCAACTGCTAGCAGGTTCTTAATTAAATATAAGTCAAGCGAAACAACCAGCATACACTGCTAAAATATGAGCGCACCCATTTGGCTATATCTTATCCTCATGGGGCCTACAACGACAGAGCTCGAAGAAATTGTTTAAAAGCAAACAAACAAACGAACACACAAGCAAAAACAACAAACACACAATGAACTATAAGACATGTATCGACAGCGAACATAGCTGTGTATACACCTTGCAACATCTGTTTATGGTATCTTTTAACGCTAATAGAGCTTTGAGGTAACTTTTTGTAACGTTCATCGACCTAAACTGATACATTCTGCCATAAAAACTTAGTTCTTAAACCCTACGAAATAAAAAAAAAACATAAATCAAGCCTTCCGTTTGCTTTTGTCCAATTATAGTTAGAAGATAAGTATATGCGGCTCTGTCTTTCGGAGTCTGTAGCAGTCCCACTTAGCTGGAAGGAAGAAGCCTCTCTTTCTCACGGGAAGTTATGTCTGCTAATCAAGTTTTTTTTTTTTCATGTTGTCAAGGTTTAGGCTGCATATCAAAACGGGACCTGTCGTCTACGGCAATGTTTCCACTATCAGGAACACGTCCACAGTTCTTCACACGGAGTGGATCGAAGCTTCATCTGGTTCCATTAAGACCACGTTCACGAAGAGCAAAGAGCACACCCGCAAGTCCTCTTGGAACAACCAACTGTCGATCACCACTGGTTTCGAAATCTCTCTGTCAGCGACGCTTCCGATGGGATTGGGTGGCTCCAGCAAGTACTACACGGGGATGAACTTGACAGCCGGCGTAGCTGGAGAATATACAGAATCCGAGACGTTGTCGATTAAACAACAGATCAAAACGCCGCCCAACACATCCGCCAAGATAGAGTGGATCGTCGTAGACGAAGTTAAGGTAAGCAAATCCTTCGTCTATAGCTGTCCTCGGGCGTGGATGGAATTCCTAGCTTTATGGTCTGGGGTTGTGCTTAATTGCTTTGTCAAGTGTTGCTTCACGTATTTAACTTGTCACTTGAATCTGGAATTTTTCTCACAGCGTAAAAACGCTCTGCTGTAGTTTTGTTGCAAAAGATCGGGGGGGGGGGGGGGGGGGGATCGGTGGCCGACAATAAAGAAGAAAAAAAAAGAATCGGTGGCCGAGTGGGCTAAAGCAGAGGCTAAAGCGCACACCCAGTTCGACGCGCGTGGAGCGAAAGCTCGCGCTGCAGAACCCAGGGATCCTGGGTTCGAGCCCCACCCCGGCCCGTTTTAATCTGGATGAGCGTCGTACCGGCGTGCGGTCGTGCATCACTACTGCGTGGAGCACGTTAAAGACCCCAGGCTAGCGGCTGTACAGCACTGGCTAAATTGCTCATCTACAGCGTGTGACTCGTCGCAACTTTAAATGGCTGATCAACTGCACGCTATATAAATATCCCCACAACCCAATTTTTTTTTGTTTTTTTTTTCAAAAGATCGGGTGACCTTTCTGTTGTTGACCATTATAGATGCTTTTGTTTACTCTGCATCCTGTACAAGGTTCTTTAAATCATTTTGCACACCCGTGTGTGGGCATATCTTTCTCGAAATAATATTCCTAAGCACGGCCGGGCTAGACAGCGGCATTCCTTACGGCCTTTGGTTTCGATTTAGAAGCAATGAGGGTGTTTTTTTCTATCGCGTGGGAGCGCGACAACACCATTCTTCCAGGTGTCGCCTGAACCACCCTTAACAACTGTTCCGACCACCGTGATTGAAACTGTGTGCCAAAGCACTCATGTGTAACAACTGTAGTGCGCTGATTGAAACACTTTTGGCTTACGATAAGTAAACGCTTGCTTATAACAATGTTTTAGAGCGCAGCTCTTAGGGGCCCGTTCCCGGCTTGAGCGGCGTCGGCGTCGCCGTTGGCGTCGGCGTAACCAAGGTCATTCCAAGGTCACGTGACCCCTCCCAAGGTCATCTCAAGGTCACGTGACCCCACGTGACCCCCTGAAGGTCACGTGACCTTGGGGGTCACGCGGGGTCATCTTGGGATCACGTGACCCCTCGAGGTCACGTGACCCCTTCCAAGGTCATCTCAAAGTCACGTGACCCCAAGATGACCCCACGTGACCCTTTGAAGGTCACGTGACCCCCAAGTCACGTGACCCCTCTGAGGTCACGTGACCCCCGAGGTCACGTGACCCCTCCAGGTCACGTGGGGGTCACCTTGGGAGTCACGTGACCTTGAGGTGACCCCCAGGTCACGCCTCCCCGAGGTCACGTGACACCCCCCCCGAGGTCACGTGACCCCCCCCGGAGCATATTAAAGAATGAGGGGAGGAGGAGGAGAAGGGGGAGGGGTCTACCCTCCCCTCAGTACCCTTCACTCCTCCTCCTCAAGAGCTGCGCTCCAATTCGGCGTTACAGGGATTTGTAAACGGCTTTCACTTTTTTTGTTTGTTTTTTTAATGACGACAACGAAGTGTTTTTGCTTAAGTCCCTGCAAAAAGGCGGCCTCAAGGCCTGTAGTTCTAACCAGTCTGGAAATTCGTCCAATTCAACACTGGAGTCCAGATGCACACATAGTAAGATTAGAGTGTTTTGCTAGAACGAGTTAAAGCGCTACCCCACCGAACAGCGGTGACAGAGAGAAACTACCCCTATTGAGAAGGACGTAAGAAAGCGCGCCTTTTCGTTCTAGCCCGGACTATAGAGTCACTTAATAAACTACGCTTTCAGAGTACCGCATTCCTTTTCTTTGGCATTTTGCCGACAATACAGTCGCTCTATTCAACAATATTCTGGTTCGCTGCGACATCATTGGATAGCGGCAGTCACGTGAGTCGCTATCATCATCGCGCTTCTTCAACACCACCATCTTGGTACAGTGTTATCTTGGGTCCAGCGAGCCTCTGCCTGCTGCTGTTTGCTGTTTTCTGCGCGCGCATGCTGAAGTCCGTCGCTCAGCACGCGCGTTTTCCGTGTTACGTCGAGATAGGAACAACACGACCTTGATTCGCTGCCACAGCTGTGTCCACGGCAGCTGGCGCAGGCGACGACCACAGCTCGGCTTGGCTCAGCTGCAGTCACTCCTCCATGTGCGCGTGCCAAGATGGCGGCGCCTGACGCGCTTCAGACGCGTAGCTTGGGAGTTTCGGTACTCTGAAAGCGTAGCTTCATTTAGTGACGCTAGCACGGACGTGTCCTGAGCAACGTAATCTAATGAAAGACCGCTAATTGGAAACAAACCTACGTTCATTCTTGACTTTTAATAATGTTGTAACATTTGTGCATAGCCGATAATACTTCGATATGACCAAGGCATTTAATAAGGTTGATCAATACCTACTTTTCAGTAATCTTTGGTACTACGGTCTATCTCCCATATACTGTCGTTTCTTTAAGAGTTATTTAACCTAACAAGGGTACTTCGTACAAGTGTCCGGTCGCTTTTTTAAATCTTTTCGTAGATGCTTCTGGTTTTCCCCAAGGCAGAAACCTTGACCTTCTATTGCGTTTATTTTTTTTTTCGTACATGATATTGATTCCTGTATTAAGATTACGCATATGCTGTTATTTGCTGAAGAAATTGTGTACCGTTTATGTTGACGCCTTGACAACTCCTCCACGGGTGACCTGTCTCTTAGCTGTTGATGAGAAATTTAGCCAGTGCAGTACAACCGCTAAGCTCGGGTCTTTAACGTGCTCCACGCAGTAGTGATCACACGAACGCGTGCCGGTACGAAACTCATCCAGATCGAAACGGGTGGGGCTGGTGATTGAACGCAGGAGGTTCTGCAACGCAAGCATTCGCTCCACTCTCCGAGCTGAGACGTGTTAGCTAACTCGGCCCCCGATCCCGCCGTTATTTGCTGATAATATTAAAGGGACCATGAAATGATTTTAAAATCGAATTTCATCCACCGCACGTCGTAAAAGGTGTGAAAAGGAACACAAAAACACAAGACTAGGGAGCCCAAAAAAATTATTTGCTATAGAACTTTTAAAAGAAAACTGGACTCTTTTGCGACTTCTTTCCTTCGAAAGCTCTGCCTTTTCACTACGATGCATACGCAGAAACGGTGCACGTCAGCCGAATCCACATCGCCTATTGGGTAAGAGCCTACCTCACCAGCACCGCGATCGTAAACAATAAATAGCCGGCGAATGTTTCCTAAAAGTTTTGTTAAATAATATTCAGATCCACATTTTGTAGCATAATTAGAGATGTGTGGCGAAAATTGCCAAATTTGATAATGCTGAGAGCCAAGCGCCATCTATCGTGTGGTAAACGAAGCAACTACTGCGCGTGCGCAGTAGGGCAGGGCCAAGTTCAGAACGGTTCTTTGGTTTCCTTCCTCTCAAAACTCTGACTGACTGAACGTTTATTTTTCTACGTGTTCATCTCGCGCGTGCCGACTTCAAGCAGCAAGAAAGAAATGTACTTAAAACAAACCACGACGAACAAGAACGCTGGATCCACAAACACCCGAGAAGAGCGACAACAGCCGCGAATCCCGCTCCGACGAAGCTGTCAGAATATAGGCCTAGCAGGCACTCCGACTTGGCGCAGCGTTGCTTCGTCGCAAGACCGTCTGCCTACGACCGGCTGGCGTACTGAATGGAATATGCCCGCGCTACCCTTGTGGACCCTTCCGTATTATAGTTTGATCGCTGACCTCAATTTTAGGTTAAGAGGTGAGGTCAATCTCTTCCCCTTGTTTTCCGAGGCAGTGTTGACGAACACTCGTCGAAAAGGGACCCTCGTCGATCCTCTCCTTGTTTTGTGTGATATAGAGCTGAAATAAACGCTGTATGGATTACCTTCGTAGCACGGTATGTACACTTTGTTATTGGTATGCCATTTTTATTCTGACAGACTGCACGTCACTGTCGAGCTGTAACAGTTCGTGCAATACCGGTCCAACCTTTCTTTGCCGAGTGTCGCGTCAGTATCGAGTTGCAATTGTAAAAGATCGGTCCCGAAGCGCTTACCAACAGCGCGAATACAGCACTTCATCAAACGCGCGCGTCCGCTCCGAGTGTGAACAGGTATTTACGTGGCTCTTGCTGACAGTTCAAACGTATCTTTTTTAACGTCGGCTCGCTCCTGCATCTCCGAGACCGCGAAAAACGCCGCGGCAAAATTGTTCCCATCTGCACTTCCCAACAGGCATACCGGCGTATGGGACTAGTCCCATGCTGTCGCTGTAGCGCAACGTATCTCATTGAATTTCGCTCAGCTGCGATGCGGCGATTAGAGGCGCCGATTCAGAAAATACGTCGGTGACATCGGCGCAGTAAAACCCACCGGCGCACCCCAACCCCCAACTCGCTAACGCTCCCATCTCCTACTGCAGAGAGAACTTCCGGTTCCGGAAACATCGTACGTCACGGCTTGTTTTGCGGTCAAGAAAAAGTCGATATTTCATTAATTTTTTGTGTAGAAGTTAATAAACCGAGACGAAAACGGATGCCTGTTCGGCATTCACTGAACATTGACGGTTTATTGTAAAAGTTATCTGGAAAAAGTAAAAAAGTCATTTCATGGTCCCTTTAAGTTGCCGGTGGTGAATTCGGTAGAGGACTGTGAGCGTCTTCAGCAAGATATAGATATTATTTTGGCGTAGTGCTTTTCAAATGCATTCATCTGAATGAATCAAAGACGAGAGTTATGTCGTTTTCTAGGAAGGGTGATGTGCTTAGTTTCTGTTGTGGATGCCACAGTTATTACTCGTGTTAAAATTATCCGCAATAGAGGAGAAATAGAGGAAATTTATTGCAGAATTCTGCAATAAATTTCAATCAGTTCGTATAACTTCAGTTACAGATGCATCATTTCGAATTATCAGTGTCATCACACTTATTACATGTATTTTTACGGAACCATTTTTTTGCGCTATTTTTGTTCATTTTTATGTTCCCGCGTCAAATTCGGCTCGGCTGTGTGTAATTGTATTAAATTAACTAAGTAAACTCAACTTAGCGCGCACAAAAAAAAAATAATTCGCTCGTCATTTGACCTTTAACGTAATTATTACATCAGATAGGAAAGGAATATGGAGACTGAAGTTAGATACGTTGCACCACATGAGAACTGTGCGGGATTTGATGCTCCCGTATAGAGTAAAGAACGGAGTTACCGATTCACCCCTGCTTCTCAGCTACATCTGTGTTCCTCTAAGGTTTAATAGACTGTGTTCCTTGTTTTATCCTTCTGATCCGCAACATGCAGCACTCATGACCCGCTTACAGTTGACATATAGCCATACTGAACAGATCGCTGCGAGTACTACCCCTGAGAATTTTTATGACATGAGCAGCTTTCGACAGCATATTATTTATTTTCAAAACTACTGATCCCATTCAGGATTGTTGCAGGGTAATACATCATACAAAGAGTTATATACATACAGGGTGTTTTTTTTTAAATTAACAGATTTGTTAAAAAAAAGCCGTGAAAGGTACACTTACGTCGCTTGTGGAGGTGAGTTATACGGCAAGAGGGACATAATATAGGGGGCTAATCGTAACGATCAATCGACTAATTAATTAAAATTTGTTAATTAACTTTTTAATTAATGAAAATAGACATATGGTTTCAGTTAGAAACTTGCTCGGCGTCATCGAAAACCATTAAATCAGTAATTTTCAGAAAGACTTTGAGCGCGTGAGAAGCGTAGTAGTGCACTAAAGTTACCACTCGTGGAGCAGGTACAAAGCTAGCGGTTGCGATAAGGCGCCCGCGCGATTTTCCCGTCTCTTATCTAGCCCCAGCCTTGTACCTGCTCCACGAGTGGAAACTTTAGTACAATACTACGCTTCTCACGCGCCGAAAGCCTTTCTGAAAATGACTGATTTAGTGGTTTTCGATGACGCTGAGCAAGTTTCTAGTTGGAACCATATGCCTATTTTCATTAATAAAAAGTTAATTAACAAATTTTAATTAATTAGCCGACAGATCGTTACGATTAGCCCAATATAATATGTCCCCCTGGCCGTACAACTCACCTCCACAAGCGGCATAAGTGTAACTTTCACGGCTTTTTTTAAACAAATGTGTTAAGCTTAGAAAAAAACACCCTGTATATATGTATATGTGTGGTGTGTGTGTGGTGTGTGTGTGGTGTGTGGTGTGGTGTGGTGTGTGGTGTGGTGTGTGTGTAGTGTGTGTGTGGTGTGTGGTGTGGTGTGTGTGGTGTGGTGTGTGGTGTGGTGTGGTGTGTGGTGTGGTGTGTGGTGTGTGGTGTGGTGTGGTGTGTGGTGTGGTGTGTGGTGTGGTGTGGTGTGGTGTGTGTGGTGTGGTGTGGTGTGTGGTGTGTGTGTGTGTGTGTGTGAAGATAATGGTATCCAAGCCTATGTCGACCGGTAGGCTTCCAATGTTTTGTCTTAACTTTTTTTTTCTTCGTGTTGATAATGTTTTATTTTATATTCGTTGAAGCAGAGTTGGTAAGTGTGCCACTAAGGAGGCGTCAAGCTGTTTGTGGACACTGAAAATTAATGAATGAATGAATGAATGGTTTTTAGTATCTCCGAAGCCTTTCAAACGCTCGGGGGAACCTTTGGCCGAGTGCGCTATTGCACCGCAGCTCGAACCACGTGGAGTGAAAGCTCGCGCTGAAGGAACCCAGGTATCGAGGGCTCCATCCCCACCCCTGCCCGTTCCGATCTAGATAAAAATCGTACCGGCGTGTGGTCATGTATCACTACTGCGCAGTGCACATTAAATGCCCCAGGCTATACACTGGCTGAATTTCTCATACAGCTGAGCGACACCAAACGCCCGTTGGGACGGAGTATTTTCATCTTGTCTAAACTTGCAACACGATCCCCCGCCCGTACCAACCCTTAACAACCTACTGATATTTTTTATGGAAGCAGCGAGTATTGGACATGGGCCATGGCTGGCCTTTTGAAGAGCCACTTACCGAGACCACAGAGGACGCTACGAGCTAGCAAAGCCAATCGAATGTCGTGTGTGTTTGTCACGTGACCTTCAGGCGTGCTCACGTGATACGTTCACGGCGCCGGACTGGCTGGGGTGTATCGTAACGTCCGCCGCGGTACGTCCTTCCTCCAGTGTGACGTCACTGTTAGAACTTGTCCTGTTGGTTCGGCCGTGATAATGGTGGCAAACAAGTTTACTGACTCTTACGTTTTGCGAAATAGTTATATAATCATAATAATGAACTTATACGATTCTCTGCACCTGGTAACGATCACAAGTGTAGAGTGCAGTTGAAATTGTGTAGTTTGGCTTTAATAACATTGGTATGCACTTCGTAAACCTAGAATTTCGAAATTCACCGCAGTAAAATAAAGTTGCCAGAAGGAAAATTTCTATACCAAGCAATCAAGTGGTAGAGTGGAAGGCTGATCGGTTTAAATTTAGTACTTAAAAATATCTAACTGCCCCAGGCTTTTTTCTATAGGTTACTAAATACAAAACTAAGAAATCGTGCAAGGCCGTTGTCTCTAGAGAAACAATTCTAGTTGTGTATTCAGTGTTTTCGTCCTTTGCTACGAGAATCTTAAACTGATAGACATTAATACGGTTTATCTGAAGAAAAAAAAAGAGCTCGCGGAATATTAATGATCGAAGCACATTGTTCGTGTTTTATTCTTTGCACACAGGAGATTCCATGGAGTGCGGACATCACGATACAAGGATGGTTTGCTGTCTGCCTCGACAAGCAGATCAACGGCAAATACGTGCACTTCCCGAAAATCACTGTCCTCCAAGATCCCGATCTCAAAAAGATCAACGACATCACGGTCCGGTTCACCGTGAAGGGTGTCTTCACCGGCGTCAAGACCATAGGTGGAAAGCTCAAGGTGTCCAAGTACGACGGCGAAGCCTACAGCCGGAAATCTTCATCGGTCACCGTGAAGGAGGTTCCCCTTCATTAAGTGCCCATCGTTCTTCACGTTAGACCCCACCACTACCTTCCAGAGACGGCGAATAAACGTTTTGGTTTCGTTTGCTTGGCTTCTTCAGTTATAAGTAGGGCTCCGTGTTTTCGGATAAATCCGAAAAACTCCGAAAAACACCCGCCGGTAAAATTTTTGTCAATTCGGATTTATCCGATAAACTCCGAATTGTTATGCATCCCCACAAAGATTTTTTTTATTAATATTATTTTGAGCAGCGCAAGATCAATGGGCCTGGGAAAATGACACCGTAATTACCTTTCAAGACTTGGACCGTTGTCAAAAGTCTTATGGCTTGTCTCGTCAAGGTTGGCTCGGTGAAACAGGTCATCGTACCATTCGTGTCACGACAAAAGCCACTTTTTTGGTATCCAGTTTGGGCCATGGGATGTGGGATTTAAGGAAAGGAGAGGCTATTTTTCTATGGGTAACAGTGAAAGCTACGGACCATAGAGATTGTATAAAATAGGGAAGAGGGGCAGTTGAAACCTCTCTATTACATCCTCCTCGCGCGGCCGCGGGATAGATTGATGGGATGACTACGAGCTTCCTTGCGGCTACCTCTGGCAGTTTATTGATTTTAATGTATCGACGTTTATCGAAGCCACGTCTTGTGTGCGACTTTTGTCGTGGTACAAATTAGTACTGCCAATGACACCAACGCCAAATTCAACTGAAGAAATCTTAGTTGGTACAAGCGCGTTTTATTTTTTATCTGGCATACGTTTGCATCCGGTTATTCTTTATTATTTTCTAATAGGAAACACCGCGAAATTAATCTCCGAATTTTGGAGAATTGGGAATCAAACAAATATAAACTCCGATAAGCTCCGAATCTTTGCCAAAAAAATAAACTCCGAAAAACACCCTCCGAATTTCACGAAAGATAAACTCCGAAACCACGGAGCCCTAGTTATAAGTAGGTATCCGTATTTTCGGATTAATTTGAGAAACTCGGAAAAAAAAAAAAAAAAACTCGCCGGTAAAATTTTCCTAAATTCAGATTTATCTGGAAAACTCAAAATTTTAAAATCACGATAGCACAAAAAAAAAAAGGAAAGAAAGGGCGGTGTTGTAGGAATAAATTATGCGTGAGAGACAGAATCGGTGATTCTGAGAAGAAACCACTACTGTTTCCTTCGAAATCTACTATTGGCAAAAGGTATTTTACCTTTCCTCTCATCAAGATTTGTTCTGAACAACGGGTGATTGTATTTCTGGACAACGACAAAAGCTTTTGTTTCGGTTTGCCGCTTGTAGCAGCATACCATTTGTGCTACTCCGAGGGAGGAGGGGTTGTGCTTTCATAAGAGTAAACGCTATGAACATGCAGATTTTATTGGGGGAGCAGGGTACCTGGAGCTTCCCAGCAACTATGTCCAGGTGTTTAGTTATTTCAAACGATTGACGTCAACTGAAGCAACGCTTCTTTCCAAGATTCGTCGTGGGACAGTTAGTATCGACAATGGCGAGGGCGCCAGTGCCAAACGCAGCTGCAGACATATAATTTGATATACGCGAGTTCTATTATCTATATAAATTTTTGCACATTTGTGTCCGGGAAGTATACAATATTACTTATGATATTGAAAATGTGCAAACAGTAATAGTAAACTTTAAATTTTGGATGATTCAGAATATATATATATATATGAAAAAAAAACTCCAATGACCCTCGATTTTCTTCAAAAAATAAACTGTGTAGCCTTCTTTTTTTCTTTTTTTTTTCTCACATTTGGCGCAATTTTTTTTTTTTTTTTTTTTTTCAGCATACGATTTGCTTTTAGCTACGTATGCAGCTCGGGCGCTCGGGGTCGGCTCGGGACACGGGCTGTTCGCCGCCGATCTACGCGAGCTGTAGTAACAGGAAATGTCGGGCTGCAGACATTGTTCCAGGAACACGAGCCAGTGATTTGCAACTGGCTCTGATTTCCGACTGACACCGAAGTGAGAACCACGTCCGAACCATTCGAATGTATTTGATTGTGTTGTGCGTTGGTTGTGCACGCTGGTTGTCTGTATTTGCAGTCGCGTAGTGTCACCAGACTTGGCAAGTAATTCGTTACAAGTAACGGGTTACTTGTAATCTATCGCTTTTTCAAGTAATTTTGTAATTGCCACGTTATTTTTTTCGGAAGTAATTTGTGATGTAATTTTGTTACACAATATTGGTAACGGATTACTTTAATTACTCGTTACTGTTTTAGAAATATGAGCATAATACAGTAACTGGAGCAATACGAGCAGAATATGCAGCGCCATAAAGGGAGCAAGTTCAACAAAATAGAAAACATCAGGAAGGGGGAAGTAACCGAAAAGAAAACACGATTTTTTTTTGTTTTACCGGTTACTAGAACCACTAGAAAAGCGGGCAAGGCATGTTAAGATATACCAAAGACAAAGGTAAAGTAGGACAGCACCGAAGAGGCTCTCCGTCGCCTCCCATCCTGTTTTCTTCGTCTCCAGGGAAGGAGAAAGCACTTCGTGTTTATTTGTTTTTGTCTTTTACACCGTTTCACCTTTTGGAACTTTTTCGACGTCTCCCGCCACCTGCACAGACATCAAACCCGGGTCCGTACCCCCTGGATTCGCGGATTCACAACTCGCGTAACAGACGATGTAGCCACGCGGGGGCGGGGGGGGGGGGGGGGGAGAATTCTCTGTTTTTGATGTGCGCTACTGTATTCTATCACTATCACGCCTTTGAGGCACGGCTGAAAAGCGCCGGGTGCGAGGCTAAGAGCATCGTCTTCGAGGGTACGGACGATACTTCTTTTGAGATCTTGTAAACCCTGAGATGGAGAAAGATAAAAAAAAAGGGGGATGAACACAACAAAATCTGCTCATTTTTTTATCGTTCCCCATCTCAGGGTTTACAAGATGTCGATTGATTACCAGCTCGCCTGCACTCGCTCGCTGCTTACACTTCTTTTGGTCTACTTGTCTGGGCATGGTGGTCGAGTCCACTCCTTACTTTAGAGTCAACTGTCAAAATAAATGGGGGGGGGGGGGGTGCTAAGTTGTCTAAGCAGTGCTTAAAGAGGGAGAGAGAGAGAGTCCACTCGGAGGAGGGCAGGCCCGACTGTCCTGCGCGATCTCTCTGGTCCGCCGAAAACTGGAGACGCGAGGAGATGTGCGAGAGAGTAGGGCAGCATGGTGGCGTACTCACCCCGACACGATACGGATCGAACAGGCTAGAAAACCAGATGACTCCGCCCAGAACGTCCGCGGCTTACGCCTTCTCGGGAGAGGGAAACCAGTGGCTAGCAAGCTTTTCTCCGCCGCCTCACTTGGCTACCTATAATTAACCTATAATATGCATACGATTCCAAAACAACAATCTCAGCAGTCAGTTTGAACACGCCACCGCTGCCGCAATGCATAGAGGAAACTTTAGTCGTTCTGCTCATCGCACAACCTTGCTGAAACTCTGCGCGTGCAGAGCTCGAGAAGTCTCGGGCACCGTCGCCTGCCATGGTGGTGGTTAGCGGCGAGATGTTTTGGTGGCGCCCTCCTATGGTTCTCTCTCGTGACGTCAATACCATGCGAACAACAAGTTCGATGGTGTTTGTAATTAGCATGGTGAAAGCTTGAAATAAATGCGCTCTGAAACTAGCATTGCATACACCGTCAAAATTGAAGCTCTTTTACTACTCTTATTTCCTTCAATGAGAAATCCAGCATTCGGCCAATCGTGGCAGGGCGACCACAGCGACGCCTTAGATCGCCCACGGCGCCAGTAGGGGGAGGTGTGCCGAGCAGAAAACCTAATGCATGCCACTTGTTTATGACGCCGCGCGATGGTACCGGCAACCTGCGCGTCTTGCTATCGCGCGGCGCGCGAGGGTACCACGAGCAGGTCCTAGAAGTGGGTCCTGCATGAGCACGCGGAGTGCGCGCTGGCGCAGCACTTCAGTGCATAACGAATACGGAGGAGACACTTCATGCCACGCCCCACGCCCCACGCCCCCCCCCCCCCCCCCCCCCCCCCCCCCCCCCCCCCCGAGCAGAAACGCACCGGTATCCTGGCCACAGCGCCACTTTTTCGTTATGAAGCGGCGACGGCACGTGGAATTACCCAAGAGCGCGGAGCGCTCGGTACACGTATCCCAATAGCAACCATAGCCTGCCTCCTGTGAACTCAAGTTATGGCGATTTCACGCATGCGCCGAACGCTTGGTGAGATCGGTTTATCATAAACTTTTTAAACGTCAATGTTAAACCCCGAAATCTATCAATTTTAGGACGACTCGAAGCACGTGGGACGCTCGGGGTTGCGCTAAAGTTACCCCTGGTGCAGCGCAGGTGCAATACCGGCGAGCCGAAAAGCCATACGATAAGCATATCATCCCCGTCCTTGCATCGCTGTGAAGCTTCCGTATATAACTCAATTCTCTGCCGTTACGCCATTGTGGCGGCGCTGCTGCTGGCACTGCGCATGCGCAGACGATGCATCTCACACGACTCTGGTTCCTGCGGACGGGCCTTGCCCACACCGGTTGCGGACAAACACGAGCGTCAAGAGCCCGATGATAATACAGTTAATGCAAAGGTGCAAGCGAGCTGGACAAGAACCTTACTGTGATTGGAGATTTGTGTTTGTCCTGTGTCCTTGTTCCCTTTCTCCAGGGATTATTTTCGTCAAGAGTGTGTTTCCGAATATCACCACACCGTGTTTCGGCTGACGAGCTTAAAAACGCTTGGCACACACGGAGTGCGAAATGGCGTAGGTTACGGAGCTGCAGGTGGCAAGACGACTTGTTTTTTGTTTGTCTTTTCGCTGGTGCGAATATTTTGAAGGCACGACTTCTATGTTTCCGTGTAACGAACTGGTAACAAAATAACATCTTTCAGAGACAGACAACACGGTGGAAGATCCGACTGGTCATTTCGTCTGCAAATATTCGGCATTCGTCGCGCTAATTGAACCAGACCATCCCGTACTTTTTAAGCCAGCTGTCAGAAGACATAAGTGAGAGCCTGTGTGCAAACCGCGTGAGCTTGTTCAAAAACAAAATAAAAAACGCTAATCTTGTAAGTATTAGGCGTTTAATAACTCGTCGTTGCGCGTAATCAAAATCGCAAGGTAAAACAGCACGAGGCATTTATGTAAATAAATAAAATATACACAACATTAAAACACTCGGCTACTCGGCGGCGGGGAACTTTAGCCCCCGGGTCCGTAGCAGGAACACAAAGCAGACAGAGGGGGCTCGGTTCAGTTGCGTCGCAGTTGCACAGGACACAGATACGTCGACAGTCTTCAGCACGGCGAGAGGCTTCAACTACTTGCGCCGTCATCTGTAAACACGTACAAAAGAGGACACTCTTTACAATTTGTGGTGGGCCCAACATTTGCAGCATCAAAAATTCGGCGCCGAATCTCGAGATTCGGCAAAGCCGAATTTTCGCCGAACGTTTCTAGAGATTCGCCAAAGTTTCGGCAAAAATACAGTGTTCCTAGACCTAAGTTGATATATCGAAACAGTTATTACTAAATAAGGTGATGTTCTTCAATATGGTTGTATCGGTGTAATTTTTGTGTGTTTACTGGTAATTTTGGGACTTCTTGCAGAAGTGGCATGACAACGGAAGTAAGCTAGTAGCGGTAGCAGTCTGCGCAACCACAATACGCGAGTTTCGGTTTTGAAAACTAATCACCGCAAGCATGCGACTGTGTATCGTTTCGTGCTCGAAAATGAATTGAACGGCTGTTGAGCCATCACCAGAAGAGACAACAATCTTATTGTAAATATGCATATTTTTTTTTTCCATTTGAGTCACTTCAGCTTCGCATGAAAGTGTGCGTCCCATATTCGCAACGTCTCGTTTTTAACCTTTAAAATGCCGGTTTCTGGTGTTAGGACACACCGGACGTTAAGGAAAATGGGCAAAGTAAGGAATGTCGGATGTGCAACGTCAATCATGATAGTTCTGTGTTTAGTTTCATGCGGATATATGAAAACCGCGAAATAACGCTAAGTGAAAAGCAATATGATTTTGTTTGGCACAAACTACTTGTGAGCCGAAAACAGGATTGCTATGATGGCGAAGAGTGCTTTAAAGTACTTGCTAGCAAATGTTGCAACTAGGGTGCCTCAATGTCCATCTGTTTAGGGTGATGCCACCCTTTGCAGTACCCGATGCCGACAGCACGCGCTCACGGACAAAATACAAAGAAATCGACGAAAACAAAATGTCGCCATAGCACAATCAGCGCCACAAACGCTTGCAGGGATACGCTCTTTCACGCGCTACAGAACATAAACATAAAAATAAGCGTTCGGAACAAAATGGCCAGATGTCATCCCGCTAAGCAAAGCGCACATGAATGCACTCTAGTTTTACCCAAGAGTGCGTGATAGAAATAACTGCTAAGCCAAGTTCACGAGATGAGTGCCATGCGAGATCGAATAACAAAAGCTCGCGCGCCACAGGCTTGGCAAAATTTCTTTCACAGAGTCTTAGCTAAGGCGCTGTTTCTAGCAAGCCGGCCCTGATACTGCCTGTGCGAGAGTTTTAGAACTGGTAAGAATACCTCTTGATGTCCCACTGGAGAGAGACAAAAATCACTACCTTGTAGGCTCTGTACTCTCTTCCAGAGGCGTGCCTTTTTGTACTTGTCCCAAAGCACGCTGATGCTCCAGGTCAGCGTAAACACGGCGTTGGCAATGGCGAAGAAAATGTAGAGAGGATCGTACGACCCCAGCACGTCCCGAACGTAACCTGCACAGAGCAAACACCGCGCTCTGTTCAATCGAGGAACACCCATCTTAAGTTATCGATCGCGCAACCCTTTTAGAAAGGCAATGCAACTGTTTGTAGCGGCCGACGTAAACATTCTCAGTTTCTCCCTTCCTACGTTTTGTTCCTCGTCCATCCCCTAAAAAAGTTATTTTCGTGCTCAGTGTTCAAAGCTGCGGGTCTAATTTCTCTCTTGTGGCAAGGTACTCTAGCTCGGAATTAGAAAAAGGGAGAAACCGGAAGGATTTTTTTTTTTACTTACAATGTTATCAAACGAATTCGTTTATTTGCAAGTATTAAGTCACTCAATACTAAAGGCACCTTCAGAGAATATATCCGTGAATTGCATTTTCAAAACTCATTTTATATTCTTAAAATTTTCACAACTTGTAGACCTTGTAGCCTTCGGGCTAGGCACTTAGCCCGGGTGAGGGGGGGAAGGGGGAGGAGGCATAGGGCCCGGTCCCCCTCCCTTACCCCCGAAATTTTTCATCTTGCTGGGGCCTCCCCCCTCTCTCTCTCTCTCTCTCTCTCTCTCTCTGTGCGATGACCCAACGGTAATACGGAAGGCGTCCACGTGCGACGTAAAAAAGAATGGCGTGATTCAATGCGGCTACGCTTTTACTGGAGAGTCTTTGCAGCTACCGAACTTGAAGGAGCCATGAAATGGTTTTGCTACTGTCCCTAAATACCACTTAAAATTCCTAACGTTAATAACCGAATAAATTTGCCTTAGTTTTTCTCTCTAAGCAATGAGAGTCGCCGAAAAAAATTCGAGAAATATTAGCATCGTTGATATCCTCAACTCGGAGACAGAACAAAGGGACACGTGGCCTGGTGCCTATTCTATGCCGCCAAAGTTAATCATAACCACGCGCTGGAGTCGGCAAAGCAGAAAACGCGTGCTGAGCTCCAGGCATTATTAGAGTTCGACTATTCTCATCAGCGCTGTTGTTGGACGGCAGTCACTACCTGAGTGTCCGCCGAGGCATCGATTGTTACAAGCCAAAGTCGAGTGCTCACGCTGTTATCGCGTCCAATCCACGAGCCGCGCTTGACTGTCATAAGGCGGGTGGCTTCGATCACAAAATTCCGTCACCAAGCTTTCCGAAGGCAAGACTGAAAGAAATAATCCCCTCTTATCCTCGCAATGTCACCGCGACCAAGAAGCTTTTAATCAGTGGCGGTCCGTGCAAGTGGTACCTGGGCCAGACTAGGACCAGTTCGCCTCCGCAGAGTCATGAGCACTCCAACCCGAAATCGTTTCATAACTCCTTCAAAAGGATCCGACGCTACACCAGTAGATTATCTGATCGATGCTTACAGCCGCAGGCACATTGCTCGTACCTGATACAAGAGACACACTTACGTGCGCTGCAGACACAATGACACAATTATGTGCGGGCACGCATCAAGCATGCTGCAAATATTTTTCCTTCACACTTGTGTATGCTCCGAACACATGTCTGCGCACGTTTTGTGTACAACCAATGTGACGAGACCGCCTCAGACAGTGGCTGTCGGCTGTCTCTTGTATGGTGTAGTAGCGGTGCGACCGTGGCTTACCGCTCCTGTTAGTGGATATAAAGGAAGCGACCGCAACATACGAACCTATGACGGGCGGCCGGACGAAGAAGGAGACGCCCGTGATAAAATTCATGACGCCCAGGTTCAAGGACAGCGACGCTTCGTCAAACTCCTCGGTCACCATGACGGTGCAGATGAAGATGCGACCCCCGCCCGAGAGGCCGGCCAGAAAGCAGCAGATCAGGAGGACCCAGTAGTTCTTCTCGAAGCTCATCACGGCGAGGGCCACGGTCTGGAGCGCGAACCCGATCAACATGGCGGTGCCCCGGCTGACGACGTGAGTATCCAGGACGAGTCCCGTGGTCACGCGGGACACGAGGTCTCCCAGGGCCAGCGCCGTCACGAGGGACACGGCGTCGTAGCCGGACAGGCCGCCATCTTTGCCATAGTCCACCGCCGTGAGTAGCAGAGACGCCAGTACGAAGACGGTGAGGGCCCGGGAAACGCTGATGTGCACGAACGCCACGCTGGCCAGGGAGCCGAGGTTGCGCATCAACTTGGTCTTGACCGTAGTCAGGGAGTTCTTTCGAAGCAGGGGCTCTCCTTCGCGGGACTGCTGAAACCTGTCGAGAACGCGGGAAACAATTATTGACGGTGGTGCGCGTCATTAAGGTCGTGGACAATTTGTGCCAGCGCTGTCCAGAAGCATTTTGGTCAGTACAGCGCGACTATACATGGCCTGCACTGACGCAGTGATGTAATTGCTGCGCCATTTGCATCAAATTCACCAAAGTGCTCACCCTGCTACATTCTGCTACATTTTGCCAAAATGTGAGAAATTTGCACCGCATTGCGACCAACATTCAGACTTTATTAATGCTCAAAATACGACAGGTCAGGCGCCGCTACACAGCCAGATTGTTACAGTTGGCTTGGGAGAATTTTCAAAACTCTCGATTATTGACTTAAATAACATCATATTCGATTTTATTTCTCTATCATACAATAACACACCTGGAAGTTTCATGTTCGTGGAATGTTCTGGCTGGTTAGTTAGCTTCGTTGAGTGCGCTTTTCGCCACCCACCGGTGTACTTCAGTGAAGCGACAACCGCGGAATAGGCATCGCGAATACACCGATCTCATGGCCAGTTTCATTACCACTGACGTCGTGCACCCTGGCAGCTGTAGTATTTCTGCATGCGCCACTACGCCGCTGATGGTGTATTCGCACGACGGAGGTTTCTTCCACAGAGAAGAGCAAACGTCATCGCGCTTCGAGGTCACGCGCGCCACATCATGAACGCTTGCTGCACTTCGTTCACCCTTAAGCTGAGACAGCAGCCAATGCTGCAAAAAGTCAAATTGGACGTTTAGTGTTTATACAGTGTAAGGTTGGTCTGCCAGGATGAGGCGACACTGGTTTACACTGTAGATGAGCAATTTTGCCAGTGCAGTACGACTGCTAACCTGGGGTCTTTAACGTGCTCACGCAGTAGTGATACACGACCGCACGCCGGTACGATGCTCATCCAGATCGAAACGGGCAGGGGTGGGGCTCGAACCCAGGATCCCTGGGTTCTGCAGCGCGAGCTTTCGCTCCACGCGCGGCGAGCTGGGTGTGCGCTTCAGCCCACTCGGCCACCGATCCCCCCAGCCAATGCTGCAACCATGAGAACACGAGATCGCAGCTTTGAAATGCTTTTCTGCGGAATGAGCGCTCGCGATAGAAACGCCCGTCTCAAAGTGAGGAGCGCGGGCTATACCGGGTGGTATTGGCCATACACCTTTCATTCTTAAGCCGATACTAAACCGCCTTCAGCGCGAGCTTTCTGACCTTGCTAACACAGGTGTGAACGCGCAGGCACGCGTAACCAAAACACTGCGGAAGCCAGCGAGCTCGATCTGAAGGCGGAGCTTCTAGTCTAAGGGTGAACGGAATATAGCAAGCAACCGTGATGAGCGCACGTGACCTAAGAACACGATGACCTTGGCTCCTCTCTGTGGAAGAAACCTCCGTCGTGTGAATACACCACGAGGGTTTGCGCGAGCAGAGCACGAGGCGGCACGGGCTGTCTCGCGAGCTGGCGCCTGGCTCCTATGAACTGCAGTTATGGCGGCGTCACGCATGCGTGGAACGCTTAGTGAAATCGGTCTATTGGCTTATCTTGCCTCGCCGCAGGGCATCCACATACTAAGGGGAAATCACTCCTCTAGAGCGGGACGTTATACGCGGTTTCTGAATAAAACTCCGGCTAATATATATGATGGGCGGCGATATTCTGACCATCCTTTTCATATTAGAGATTCATCCAGGATACTTTAGTATTGCGACAACTTTTATAAACTGTTCTTTATGTTTATTTTTTAGTCAAATCTCGTTTAGTTAATTTTATATGCGGAGCGCAAGTTCGTCTGCTTCTTTTGCATGGGTCATGGTGACGTCAGAACGCCGAGCTCCGATTGACTCGATTGGAAGGATAGCAGGTAGACCTCGAGGCAGCTAGTATTGAAGTCTACCCACTGTCCTTTCAATGAAATCCAATCAGAACTCAGCGTCGTTTTGACGTCACCGCAAGCCCTGCAAAAGAAGCAGACGATTTGCTCTCCGCATAGGTTCTATTCCGTTCGATGGCACGGACAATCGAGTAATTTAAGACTAAGTTAGCTGTAGCAGCAAATGCAAGGTTGGGAATACCCTTAACAAGCGTTTTTTTTTTTATTTCTTTTAGAAGGCCTTTTTATTGTGTACATGTTAATTTTTATTATCGAAGTTTTGCGTACTAATTTTCATACATATTCATAATCAAATGATACAAGCTTCGTTTTCTTTGAACTAAGAACTGCACTTTTATTACAGCCTTTAGAACTTGGAGGGAAACATCAATTTCGGTGCTCGACTTTATTCTATCGTAACATTTTTTTTCCGGTGGAATATGCTATTTGGTTTACATTTGATTTCGTACATAAAATAACTATACACAGCAGTTCGTTCTGTCCATCCGCCAGCATCCTGTTAAAGCACCTGGTGATTCTATACGCAGCTAAACAGCCAACTAAAGAATCAAACCTGCCGTGCGGCAAGGCAAGGTGGACATTGTCTTTTAGTGGGACCGGCCAACACAAATTTTAATAAACAATTCGCACGGTTGAAGATGAAGTGTGTGCTTATGCTGTGAAGCTTATTTTTGCTGCTCCGCAGTGACCTTTCGGATGCCCCAAAAGGTGCTCCAAAATTACTTGGACTGATCACATCACTGCTGAGGTTGATTAGATTAGCCATTCTTATAAGGCAATTAAATGCAAAGGTGCAAGCGAGCTGGACAAGAATGACGAAAATAATCCCTGGAGAAGGAAAAGATGGACAAAGGACAAACACAAACCTCCGAACACAGATAAGTGACTGGTGCGCGACCGAAAAAATCCACCTGGTCGGGGTAGGACCAGGCGGATTTTCTCCAGGAATTGTTTTCGTCGTTCTTGTCCAGCTCGCTTGCAGCTTTGGATTTAATTACATTATAATCATAACCTTAAATTGGAAGCTGCTCCCTTGTTGGTGTTAGACTGGTGGCAGCTGATAAAACCTGTTTGCTCTACTGACATCTAAACCCTGGTTAGCTCAGTTGGCAGAGCGCTCCACTTGTAATGGAGTGGTCCCGGGTTCGATACCCGGACCAGGCGGATTTTTTGGGTCGCGCACCAGTCACCTACAGCTGTGCTTGGAGATTTGTGTTTGTCCTTTGTCCATCTTTTCCTTCTCCAGGGATTATTTTCGTCGAGATTAGCCATTTTTATATGTCCGTTTCGATCAACCTCCCTGTCACTGCTAACTCAGAACTGAGTTAGCGCTTCATGTGTGTGTGAACAACAAGTGGCCAGGTCTTAAGCGCAGACCGCATGACGCGTTTTTCTACACGCGAAAACGCGACGCGCTATGAACGTTCGCGCGGAAGCTGACGCGGGGGCACCCGCATGCAGACAAAGCCAAGCGCCGCCGGCCGCGCGTTATCAGCGTTGCAGACAACAGAATTCTCAACACGCGATGTAAATGTTGACGCAAATACTACAAAATGAGAATTAAATAAACAAATAACTAAATAAAACGGGTGTGTGTGTCAAAAGAAACACCTTTTCAATTTTTATATGGAAAATAAAAATGCTTTTGAACACTTTGAAATGTGCTGAATACGAAACAGCGTATTGTGCAGGATCACGTGATAGTTCGACCGACCCTCATTGGGCGAGAATCGCTTCGACGCCTCGGCGCGCGCCTCTTGTTCTGGGTCGGCTAGAAACCGACGCTACCGCGAAAACGCGCGCCCGCGCGCTGGAAATGACGTCAGTTTGACGCCGACGCGCCTGAATCGCGAGCAAAAACGCGCCATGCGGTCTGCGCTTTATGCAGTGGAGCGCTGATCCAGCACTGATCTAGCGTTAATGCAGCGCTGATTAGCGCAAGCTTAACTTTGTGCTGTATGTGTGAACACGCTTTTAAGCTACTTTAAAGGAGTAAAGACATGAAATTGTGGGAGGCTTTCTTTGTATGTGTGCGTTTTAGCTAACGCGTATTGCGTTCACACCAACGCGCAGTAAATAATTTATTACCGCGTTACTGGTTTCGGTTTCGATTGCGAAACGAGATTTTGGGATGACGTCACAAACCACCTTAGTTGCGCTCCCCGCAATTAAGGCAATCGTAGTGTGGAACCCCACAAACCTCACGCGGTGCATGTGCGCTCCATGTGCTACAATGAGAGCAGACGACAACGTCTTCACTGTGTCATAGTTCCTTTCGGCCCACATGGCAGCCGCGTTGTTCAACACCAGGGCCCGTTTTCTCGAACGCGAACCGTGGTTTAAAGTTAACTATTGTCCCTAGAAGAGGGAATTCTAGGGCACGTGACTGGAAGAGCAGGGGCGCCGAGCGAGGAGCAGTACCTACAAGCAAAATGGCCGCGACGTCGCTTAATGAGGGCTGATAGTTCTTAGTTCTGCTGAACATTCATTTCGATCCGGCTGTTATATTAACGACGCACCATCAGCCCATTAGCACGTCAAGCAAAGCGGTAGTTCAGAGAGACTACTGAACTAACCGACGGCAGCATTCCGCGAACGCATCACTCTTCAGCAGTCTGGGTTCCAAGATGCATATGACGGTACATAAGCCTTGCAAGTGTTTTTATGGTGAGTAAAAAATATTTTGCGAACGAGTGTTGGTATATATTTATACTAACACGTTTAATTTTTTACACTATGCACGCCAAATGGTGAGCAGCGATTACTTTGCGAAGAAAGGGGGTTATCCTCGATAAAGTCTTCGTTCCGGGTGAACAACTGGGAGATTGTACTGCTTTTTTGTTCGCAGTGCGCCAACAGTATGCCGATAGCATCGAGGTTTCTACATATCCCCGGCGGCCAGCAATTCAAAGCTCCTCGTCACCGGTGGATCGGTTGGGCAAAAGGAAAAGAGGGCAAACAGTTGAGATCACCAGGAATCGAAGAAACGTGCGTCGCAAGGAACAAATACGAGACTACAGCACCGGCGTTGCCAGACTGGAAGGCACACGGGAAAGTTATGCGTTGTTTATGGCGAAACATATTGTACGAAATGTTTCTTACATTTTCGAATATTCGTCGGCAAACCCTAGCATAGTAGCTAATTTTTTTTTTATATATAATTTGTGGCGTTGAATGTTTGGCGCACGGTGGAAGAAATACATTTAGGTGATGACTCTGTCTCGCGCGGCGACCACATTGTGTTCGGCGCACCGAGCGCGCTTCACTCGCTCGGGGATAGGTGGCGCCCACGTATAAAGGGGCTTGTGAAGGCTTGTATACTATAGAGGGCTTGTGAAGGAAATTATGCATTCTTTACTCGATCCCTGTGTACTGTGTGGTGAAATGGTGGATTTATGTTGGCGCATTGGCACTGATTGCCTTTTCCCCCGTACGGTTCCTGTTTTTCTTGTTTTTTTTTTTTAAACGAGAACATTCTGATAATGACTCAACGTGACAAAAATACTCGTGTAGATATAAAACTTTCCAGCATAATATACTGGGCCTTCAATAATTTAGAGTAATTTAGAGTAAACTCCTGGGTCGTGCTCGCATGTTTTGTCAAACAGCATGTTTGTTAACCATTCCGTAAATTATTTTCACACATTGCGTGGCTTTATATGAGGTCGGGTGATTTTTTCCACCCTGCTCCTGCCTTTAAAAAAAAAATCTAATAATGTTACATAGTGGGGCCTAGATAATTGTTTACATGCGCATAAAGGTTTTAGCCTTACAAATGATTTATACATACAATGTCAACTTGTAGTGTGGAGCATACAAACCTTGTGAGCAGAAAAAAAAATCATCCTATTTATGATCACATAGTGACTGAAACGATGACACAGTATGATGACATACTGACTGACATGATGACACAGTGACTGAAAGTCAAACAATAGTAACGGTTATAAGACATAAATCACTTTCCATCTATACTCTCACAATATGGTGTCACCCCGTCTTACAGGTAAAAAAATACCTGACAAATATTTTTGCTTTAAAATGTGCATAAAAGCTGAATTCACTGCATACTACCAAAGAACGCCATCTTCCACATCCTGTGTTGCTCACCCATGCCCTTAAACTAAGACGAGCGCTGCTTTGCTGATTTCTTTAGTTCTTGAGCTTGTTTGTTCCTACTCATCGTAATATGCTTACAGTGTTGTCGCATTCGCATGCTGAAGTAGTAGTGGAGCAAATGGGCGATTGTTTCTTCTTTGTGTTCAGCGCATGGAAACGTTATTGTGCATGTGTCAAGAACACTGTCGATTGCGTCCCGGTAGACAGTCTGGTGGCTTTTATTTTCCACGAAGAACTGTTTCGCTTTCATCAGTAGCTGGAAAAAGGTTCTTGTTAAGGTGTATAAGGCCTCCTCTGCTCTTCACGTTTGTCAGTGCTGCTTCAGTGGAAGTGTTCTTGTCAATGCTGAAAAAGGATGGGCATGCAGGGTAGCGTGTAGCTTTTTTTTTATTTTCACGCTCAAACACCCAGTTACATAATGTGGCATGCAGTCCACAGCCTTGGTTTCTCGAGCCTTTACTCTCCAGACATCTTCGCATTCCCAGTCTTCGACAGAAATTAGACTGTCAAGCTCGGTCTTCACTTGGTCAACGAGATGATGAGACTAGGTTGTAACTTGCGATCGGCCCTCGGGATTGCACGACGCCACTGCCCCAACCGAGCGTCATTCGATGGAGCTTTAAACAAGGACACTCGCTCTGCGCAGTTCCGGTACCCCGAATTGGAGTTGGGAACGAAGCACGGCTTTCCCATCCTTATAGCATAACGTCTTCGGGTTAAGGTTCATCTTCGTGCACGATGGTCGCACCGGTGATTGACACAGCACCAAAGCCAAACATGAGGCCAGCCACTGACCGCACACCACCACCACACCGCGAAAAAGGCGAGCAAGCTACGCCCCCGGCACCGTGGCCGCCGAGGAGAGACCTCATACCCACGGTGCTCACACATCAGCGCCCTCCGCGGCGGCGCGGAACAACTGCACTTAGTTTCACCTTATGTTGTACCACAGCGAAGACTAGAAGCGCGAGCTCATGGCGTTGGCAGCGGCTTTTAAGTCACGAGAGCTTGTGCCGCCGTGATGTGCTCCAGAGCAAGGAGCTCGCGCTTGTAGCCTTTTCTGCGGTACATCATAAGGTGAAACAGAGGGCAGTTTGATACTTTCAGAGTATACTTCTTGTTTGAGGCTAGCTCCGAACACGATCTGGTTGCTCGCTCCCCGTGGGAAGAGCGGCCAGAGTCACCACTTAAATGTATTTCTTCCACCGTGGTCTGGCGTCACCTAATGATGTCTAAAAAGTGCTGCTCTTTCGCGTGCGTGTGCGTTTTCCTACTCCTCTCAGATACCTCCGGGTCGGCGGGCCCTGACGGTAGAATAAATAAAGTAAATTAACTTTACTTGGTATTATAAGTCAAAGCGCAGTCCAAGGCTAGAAGACAAACACAGTACGGACAGGCTAAAATTGCAAGGTCAGGACGGACACACCGAGGTTGATTGGTCTAGCCACTGATAGCACACGAAGAACGACAAAGATCGTCGTGAGGTTGCACTTTCGGCTCTGCTTGATTGGCCCTATCGGGTTCTAACTTGAGCTGCGCTTCGTCTTAGGGCGTTGGGAACTTAGGGCGTTGGGAACTTGCCCAACTTGCCGGAAACACCTCACCCGATGCTCATAGATTGACCGTCCACCAGCGAAGCTTTCCTGGAGTAAGGCAGGGCCATCGATGCTGAGTGAAAGCTGCTCCTCCGGGTGCGGTCCTGCGTCCAAACCGGAAGTGCCACTTTTGCGACAGTTTGAGAGCAGCTTTGGGCCCAATCGTTACTAAGTGATACATTTAAATGTTAACTTTTTTTTTTCACATGGTTCAAATTTTGTGATTAATATCAGAGTTTGGCTTACAATTTAATTCACTCTTACGCTACTAAGATATTGCCGCCTACAGTCACTGACGGAAAGAAAATGGCAAAGGGGTTTTCCAATTGTCCCGCCTCCATCGCGAACTCCTCACTTTCGTTAACGCTTCGGCGGCGTCTCGCGAACCTCGGCGAAAGACAAAGAGCGCGGACTGCAGGCAGGAAATCCAAAAGTGACGCTACGCCGTTTTTACTCTGTCAATGATTATACCAGGGGGAAAAAATCGGATAATTTCTATGTTCACGAAGTCTTTGGATCGGGACTGACTTGCCCGAAAAGACACGAGTCATACCTCAATCCTAGATCACAGGACTGACCTCGGGTAAATCTGCACTGTATTAACGAAGCAAGCTTACCGGATGGTGTCGATGCAGCAACGCAAAACTGTGCTGCAGTTATACTGCCGATAAAATAGATAGCCGATATAAAGCAGAAAATACATTTGTACATGCGTACACTCATCATGGAGAGTTACTCTAGTTTGAGACAGTCTGGTGGCCTCGACCGGAGTGAGCTCTCCCGAACACCGCGTCGCTGCTCCCGTACCGTCGTGCACGATGCTCCGACAGAGTCGGGGTCGACGCAGTTGACGAACACGCATCCGAGCAGCATGTTGAGCAGCAGGGCGCCCAGGATGAGCAGGCTGAGCCGGAAGCCGTACGCCTGCCGGAGGGCCTCGGTGACCAGCGGGGACACGAAGCCGGACACCGCCGTGACAACGAACAGCAGGCCCACGGCTGTGCCGCGGTACTTGACGAAGTGCCGGGCCACGATGGTGAACGGAAGCACCTCGGCGCACGCCAGGCCCAGCCCTGTTGGAGGGACGGAGGGAGGGAGTAGTCAAAACTCACATTTGGGGGTTTTAAACCGTGGTCACACTGATAATGCATCATGCAAAAGAAAGTCTGGAGAAACTGTCTGAGGTCTTCCTTGTAAGACGGTCCTGCAACATAGGTCACACAAGAACTCTTTCCGAACATGCTTCAAGCACGCGTATGAATCTGATGTGCTTCGAACATGTTTCCGCTGATTATTGTGGCATCATGTCTGCAACGAACACGGTCTTTTTTGTAAGCGTATAATGTACAAGTCTTGTAACAGCGGCTTCGTGCCACAACAACGAAGGGCATCTCGCAGGTCCCTGCAGCGGAGGATTGAAAACTAATTTCGATCACGTTTGACGTGCAAACAAAATCTTTGTTACACGTCGCTTTCTCCGCAACAAGCCTCAGTCAGATAGCGGGCACTCGGCCGGGGTTCGAATCCGCAAACTGGGGGTTCGAACCCTCAAAACTTTGCTTCGGTACCACAGAGAAGGCAAGAGGAAGCGACGAAAGCGCCGATCGTCTGCATGTGTCTGCGAGCTTGGCTCAGCCTATCCGCCCACTACCATAGGGCGCAGATGATATTCCCCAATAAATTGTAAACGCTCTCCATGGTTTCGATTGCTCGGGCTCCCAAGGAGGAAGCGGTCGAGGGAAGAACACCTGACGTACACCCGGTGTAGCCTAGGAAGGGAGTTTTGCGAACGCGTTTCAGCTAGCGGCGACGAACACCTGTTGCTGTCAGACGACGACATAAAATAGGCACTGGAGTGACGAGGGTCGCTAAACTCGTCAAGCACGAGGTTGGGGCCGAAGTGTGCGGAGCGTGCTGATCGGACTCTCGCGACGATGGCGTCACGCGGGACGAGATGTCAATCATCCAAACTCTCGGTGCTCAAATTCCAGCGAGATTGTGAGACAGAAAGTCGTAGCGAGCTAGGGTGCCTACATGTCTGTCTGTCTCTCTGGGCGAATACATCCATCCTTGCCCTGAATGTGCGAGCGCGTGATGCTCTGGCGCACTCGGTGCGTGACTTGGGCGGTAAAATGGCGTCTATGCATTAGCCTAGTGCCACTAAATTAGCTACGCTTCAGAATAAGGACACTCAGCCATAGTGTGGCTTTAAATCATGGTTGCCATGCAGTTATCTGAAGCTTTATCTGAAATCACAGGAAACGCTTTTTTGTCCTCCACAGATCTTGAAACAGTTCGCGACAAAGCAAAGCAATCTTACGTGAGCTTCCTAACACCAAATGTAATTCTGAGGAAGTCTCACTTTTGAATCATGACGATCGGCAGTTGCGTCTGCTCTGCACAAGCACCAAACTGGCGGCGCCCACAACAATGTCGGGGATTGGAGTGCCGATACTCTAAGCGCAGCTCATTTAGTGGCTCTACATTAGCCAAAGCTACGCGCTCGAGCTCAGTGACACCGGATTGCGCGCACTACAAAAAGCATAAAAAAAAGATTAGGCGGGAAAATGGCTGAGATGCCCCCAATCAAGCAGAAGCGCGCGTGTGTATGAAGGCACTTCATCGGAGCGCGAGCGACCAACACAGTGGGTTCTTCCCGCCTGCTAGCCGGACACAGACACCAACAGACAGACGACTAAAGCTGAGGGGGGATCGGTGGCCGAGTGGTCTAGCGCACACCAGCTCGGAGCACGTGGAGCGAAAGCTCGCGCTGCAGAACCCAGGGATCCTGGGTTCGAGCCCCACCCCTGCCCGTTTCGATCTGGATGAGCATCGTACCGGCGTGCGGTCGTGTATCACTACTGCGTGATGCACGTTAAAGACCCCAGGCTAGCGGCTGTACCGCACTGGCTAAATTTCTCATCTACAGCTGGGAGACTCGTCGCCCCTGTGAGGCAGACCAAGTTCTAGGCTGTATAAACACACACACAACCCAATTTTTTTTTTTTTTCAATTGGCTGAATGGTCTTGGTTGCCATGGCAATCGCCATTTTGGGTTTTTCAAATCTTCGAGGCGTCGAAAGGTTGATTCCAACCAGTCGCGCCAAGATCGCTATGGAGCATCATCCTGAAAGCATTCTTCGGCCAATATAAGCGTCTTTGGTACTGTGCATGCTATAAACTTATCACTTATGCTTATCTCCCGAGACATTTTACAGTTATGTTACTCTGCTTGCGTATTTCAAGACAGGAAAATGATTTGTCAGGGCCTCCAAGCAATGACGCCGCATGTGATGGCGTAATTCTTCGTACCACCGTCACATACAACGTCAGTGCTTGGAATCTTTGAAAAGTAGGGGGGGAAGAAGAAGACGCCGTTATCGAAAGGGCGTTTTTCGATGCTCTCCGCTGGAGTTTGCGCTCTGTTCTTGATACTGGTTGCCCAAACCATTACCAACGCCATCAAGATCTCGCCCGGACCCCGACGACTACTGATGTGTGCGCGCAAGTGCCCGAAGACCTATTTTTTAGCGTTTTTTGTGTCGTCCAAATTTTTCTGGCGCTAGGCCTAATAAGCCTAGCCCGAGTACGGTCGCAAGGCCGCCGCTCCCCCAACGACGTCGGCTCCATAGAAGGAGCTGATACGCATGCAACATGGAAATCACCGTTGAAGGTGAACCGATCACAGACAGAGAATTGAACGATGGAACGTGGATTTCTACGGTACTCAAGAACCAGAAACGATTCCGCCGCCCCGGTGCCAGCAAAGAATACGAAGGCTCGGCGTCAGGCAGTGCCGTCGTCGCTGCACCCGGCATGGGATACGAAGCCGCAGCTACCACCGGCAGCCATGAATGCATGAACAACAAAGGCAAGCCCTTCGACTCTGCCGCTAAGAGGTCTAGGCCTCCCCCTAGAAGAAGAAGACCCCCGATCCCGAGACTGCCGGCAGATCATTACAAGATTGTCATTAGGCCACAGTCTGCCCTAGACCTTCCTGCACATGGCGGAGCGCTATTGCTCGAAGCGCTTCGCCTAGTCGCCAACATTACCGACGGCAACACCCATTCAGAAGATATTCTACAGAAACACCCGGTCAACCGTACTTTCACAATCAGCACGCCCAGTGAGAAACGTGCGAACGCGTACCTCAACCTACAAGAGTTCGTGATTGAAGGAAGGAAATGCCCCATCAAAGCGTACGCGCCTGCCCCCGATCTTTCGGTAAAAGGGCTGATCCACAACGAGTATTGTGGCGAAACAGACGAGCAGTTAGTCCAGAACTACAACTCCTACAACCCCGACTGGATCGTCACGTCGGCAAGACGTTACGGGAAAACAAACCACATCATGATTACGGTAGCCGGAACGGAGCTCCCCCGGCTCCTCAGATACCCCGGCACAAGACATAAAGTGGTCCTCCTTCTCAACCGAGTGGAGGCCTGCTTCAACTGCCGCAAGACAGGGCACAGACAAGACGTCTGCTGACAAAAAAGACGAAACCTCTGCTTCAGGTGTGGAGAAGAGCACCCACCACCACAAGAGGGACAACCAACAACCTGCGCCCCAGTCTGCATCATCTGCGCAAGGGCGCACAAAACTGGGAGCAGCAACTGCAAGTTCAGATTCGCCAAGCAGCAAGCCTCCCAGAGACCCAACCCGCTCAGCAACCCTGACCTAAACATCGGGCAGAACTTTAAGCACCAGTCGAGGGACAGAAACCGGCAACACGAGACCCTGACCCGAGGTGACAAGAGGGAAGCATCATCGTCCTTCCCACCACTACTGCGAAGCAGAAGCAAGTCGGCGACACGGAGCAGCCAATCGAGGGACCGTCAAAAGGACCAACAACGATCGTCCAGCAAAAGGCGAGACCCCAAAAACCTCTGGACCAAGCCAGGAGAAAGGGCCATCAAGTGGCAGGAAGATCCGGAGAAGCAGGCCCTTCGTAATCAAGTGAGGAAGCAAGCCATTGTAATAGAACGAATGCAGTCCCAGATCAGTGTGCTAGGCAATAAAATCGCGAGTCTCACACAAACCCAACACCCCGGTGAAAGCGCAACAACCACTAACAACACGTGCCGCTCCCTCACCCCTTCCGAGGGTGCAGTTATGGAAGTAGAATCCACGAACGTTCTCAAAAGACAGGCCTCAAAAGATCAGCAAGATGCCCAGAATCTCAAGAGGCGAATCGAAACTGCCTCGGCGTCCCAAGCGGCGTCAACTTTCGCAGTCAAAGCTAAACTGGCTCTCGAACAGAAAGAGAGGCTCAACAAAGTAGAGGCCCGAGCAGATAGGCTAGAAGCGACATCCAAGGACGTTGTCAAAAACCTGCAGCAGACCAAAGAAGAAATGATGGAGGCCATCAAGGCACTACAAGTCCAAGTGAGCACGATAGCGACCGCGGCTGCGCAGCTGACAGTGCCCCAACATGGCAGCCCATAACCACGAGATCAGTATCTGGCAATGGAACTGTAGGGGTTTTCAAGGCAAAAAATCCAACCTACAGCTTCATATTCAAAATTTAGAAGTCAAACCGGACATTATTACAATCCAAGAACCAATGGGGCCCGTTAGCCTAACAGGGTACAAAGCCATATCTCAAAAATATATACCACGCAAAACGGGAATGACTGCTACGCTGGTGAGCAACCAACTCACGGCTATACAACACGAATTCGACAATTCTGCGGCAGATTACACGCTAACAAATTATTCCCGCCAAGAAAGAGCAGGTGAGCCTGTACGTCCTCAACGTGTACAGCTCCCCGAACGATCAATCCAGAGAAGTCACGGCATTGCTAGAGTCGACCACGCAACTAGCCAAAAAGGGGCAACTAGTGATAACAGGCGACTTCAACGCGCCACACGTCGAATGGGGATACCACAAGTCGTTCAAGAAAGGAAACATCCTGTGGAACAAAATCCAAGAATTGGGACTCTCGCTACTAAACGATCCTCACACAGCGACCAGAACTGGCAACAGCATTAGTAGAGACACCACCCCGGACCTCACGCTAGCAAAGAATGTCAAGAACCCCGTCTGGCGGAACACCGGCGCGGATCTCAACAG